TATATATAGTTATTAAATTCTTTAGTTTGAATATAATAACATTAGTAGAAACAAACACATAAACAATCCTCAATGAGCTGATCCCCATGCTAGTAACAGACGGATTTGTATTACAATATTCCCCTTTACAACTGAACTGTGCAGAATGTAAAATTTATACTTGGTAAATTATATCTTCACAGACCGTGTAACAGACATATTATATTACATTATATATATATATATATATATATATACATAACAAAAAGACACAGAGACCCTTTAGAGCATTGTACAGTAAGTCGTTCATTGTCTGCATATATTTCAAGTAAAATGCATGAATATAAACTCAGGAAAATAAACATGCCTAAAATAAACCGAAAATTCACACAAGCACGCACACGCGCAGTTCTTAAACCAGCAATTATGCGGCATCATTAGCCTGGGGCCCGTTATTAGAAACATCATAAATTGTTACGACTATTGTGCTACGTCTATTAAATCGATGGATGTCGTAACTTTTGCGATATGTCGTGCAAAAAATTTATGACGACCCGCACTTATGATGCTATAACTATTTACGATGCTTCTGACAATGGGGTTTATAATGATTAATAATTATTAATTAAATAAATATTAATTAATTAATTATAATAATTAATAACCCCTGATTATTCTCCATTGCTCCACATTATGTCTATATACCCGCAGATACATTTCAATGCTAATTAATTATAATATAACAGTTTTGAAAATCGCAGGCTCTCACCCCCCACCCCATCCAGGACTGGCAACTTTGAGCAGGACTAGGTATTTTTTACGGTGAAAATCGAAACTAACAAAATCAGGACTGGCGACATTAACCACACATTAACAAGACTAATAATATAAATATATACATATATACTAATTATAATATTAATTATAATCGATATCATCATAATCGTAATCGCGCTTACCGGTCCCATGAAGCCTAGGAGGCCGGTCCGCACAAACTCATAGCTGCAGCACGCGTCGCCATCTGGTGTTAGAGGCCTCACCTGGAGAAACGAGAACAGATAAATATCCAACACGCACTGTACAGTGGCAATGGTAATGCTAAACAGTAGTGATGTCACGATCATCGATTATACTCGATCATCGGTTGAACAGTGGCTCGAACCAAGCGCTT